ACACTTCATTGAGATCAACTTGGCTTATATTGTTGGTATTACTTTCGTGCTTAGAAGATGAAGAAGAAGGATGGTCTTTCTTCTTGTTTTTCCAAGTGTTATTATTGTTACTACCAGGAATCTTTATTAGCTCATCCTCGATATTGATTCTGATGTCGTATACAGCTTTGAAAGTGTTCAGTGGAAGAAATTTGGGGTGTTCCCTATATTTATGAGTCAGATTTTGAATAAAGAGGCGAACCATCTCTCTTTCTTTGGGAGGATCTACCAAGAGTGAAGCTGTTTCCCTCCACCTATTCAGGTAAGTGGTGAAGCCTTCATTCTCTTTCTGTTTGAGAATGGAGAGTTCACGTTCATAAGTTTTAGTTTGAATGTTACACTTGTAACGATTCATGAAATTGTCGGTGACATCTTGCCAAGTCGCAATATGCTTGGCATCTAAGGAATAAAACCATTGTTGGCAAGCATGTTCTATGGAGAGAGGGAACAACGTAGGGAAAAGTGTTACGTCCAATCCTCTAAGAGCCATAATTGCAGAAAACACCTTCAAATGGAATATTGGATTGTCAGTAGGATTGAACTTTGGAATATCAGCAGTGGAGAACTTTTCAGGAAGTATGTCCTTCACATCCAAAGGAGTGGGAGGCCGTTCCACATAAGTGAAATCCTCAGAAATCTTACTCATTTGTTCCTTCAGTTTGTCAAGGGTGGAAGCAGTGACCTTGTTTTGTTCCATGGTAGTGACCCTAGTGGTATGGGTTTGCATCATGGCAGACAGTGCCTCGATGGATTTGTTAATGTTCTCAATATATTCTTTAGTGGCCATTGAAAGGTGATGAGTAATGTGGAGATGGCAAAGTTCTCTTTGAACGCCTATTAGATCTGAGAGATTGTTGCGGTAATGACTCGAACCATATTAATCTATCCCTGTTCCTTGACCAAATACTGTGAAATAAAATAATTCACTTAATTGTTTGACTCATTGCTCAAGATAGGAAAGGAAGGAAAAAATAGACATTTGAAAACAGGTGAGAAAACTCCACTCATTTTTTTATTATGACGAAAAAGGGAGCATGAACCTAATATACGATCATAAACGACCTGGTGCACGACTCGAGTCGGAACATAAAGAAAGTGTGTGGACTATACTTGACTCATGAGTGACTAAGTGATGTTATAAGACTCGTTGTATGATCGTATGGCTAGACATGTGAACAATAACAAAAGTGACTTACACGAGGACCAAATTAACACGGAAGAATTAAAAAAAGCTGACTGGACTTATTTCAAGGGCACCGTGACACGGAAAAATGTATCGTGTCACTGTACAAGCTGCCGTGACGCGGTGGTTTTTTTTTTTTACTGGAAATCCACCGTGCCACGGTGGAAGTTGCCGTGAAACGGTGAACTTTCCTGTGCCACGGTGGATGATGACGTGGCACAAGATTTTTTTTTTGGAAATCCACCGTGGCACGGTGGAAATTGCCGTGACACGGTGAACTTTCCCGTGCCATGGTAAACTTTCCCATGCCACGGCAGATGCTGACGTGGCACGGTAATTTTTTATTTTTTTTTGCAGGTCCACCGTGCCACGGTGGAAATTTGTCGTGACACGGTAGACCTTCCCGTGGCGCGGCAAACGTTTTTTTTTTGCACTAATTACTAAATGAGTACGGTCCATTGGCAATCGTCAGTCATAAAATAATCCACCATAGACAAAGAAAGATCGTTAAGATCAAAACGACCAAACATAAACACGTTGGCACAATGATGCAAAGAATAGTTCGCAACCTAAGGTCAAGTTCTATGTTCTACAATGGTCAGGTTTATTTGGTGTCAATAGGGTACCATGGTTAAGAGTTTGGACGCGTTAGCAAGGCAGCCTCCCTTAAGAGTGTATGCCAACGGGCGGCTCCGCGAATTCGTGATAAAATCGAACTCGACTCCATGGTTTGGGTGGATTTAATAACTCGGATGAACCCTTATTGCCATGAGTGTTTTTGGTTTGATAGAGCTTAAATCCCCCGGGGCTAAGACGCATGTAGAACACACACGTTTTTTCAGAAAATCGAAGGAAGTTGATTGTGAGAAGATAAAACAAGCCACCAGACAAATTTTAAGACTGTCGTGACACGGCAGAGATTCCCGTGCCACGGTACTGCACACCGTCAGACGGTGCACTGTACCGTGACACGGCAGATTATGCCGTGGCACGGCAGTTAGAAAATCTCACTGGTGCCCAGTTTTCCTTCGTACACAATCAAGTTATTTAATTTCTCCTACGAGACGGACCTAAATGCGACGTTAAAACGTCTATGCTTATGCAAAAATGCCTAATTAATCACAGGAATATTTTTCAAGAATCTTTCAAATCTCATCCACTCATCTTAATTAAATATCGATCACTCAAATCGATAAATAACCAAGAATCCTCCCAAGTGGAGTCGCCAAATTGTAGGCGTCGTTCGAAGTGCGCCTACGTTAAAAGCATGTGGTGAATATGCTTGGCACTCATAGAAAGTGGAATTGACATAATACGATTTGGGACAAGGAAAGTAGGGAGACGCGATCAAGTTTTTAAGGACTTGTAAATCGTTCACAGATCATAAAAGGCAACCACGATAAAGGGATAACGAAGGAAACAACGATTGACCCGTGAAGGTTACACCCCATTCATAATCCATGAGATTACTAACTCCATATGGTTCGGAACCACGAAAGGAGGATCGGGGATGATGGTACGAAGTGAGTCATGGAGTCACATTCGCCCGTATGGGCCTCTACTCGATTCTTATAGTGAAAAATGATTCCTGCGATCTCAAAGGCATATAAACAGAATATTCAATTTGCTCCAAACTATTATTAAGCTAAATTGGTTTAATAATAATGCAACATATAATTCTAAAATATTTGTGATCACTTGAATTAATTAACAAGATTAAAAAGGAACCTAAACCGGTTGTCCAAATTATCTTAATAGGCGTGATTTTCAATTACATATTTCCTTTAGACATGCAATATGGTGATCATAAAAATAATAGAATAACATCAATATTGGAAGCAATTTAACAATAATTCTAACAATACAAAATCGTTAGAAAAATAATAGAAATAAAAGGAACATAATTCTTACTTTGATTCTGTTTGTTTGGAACTACAAAATAATTAACGAGTTAGTAACTTCAAGGAAATAATAATAAAACAATAATTAAATTAAATTAAATAGAATTGATTTGGGGCTAAACCCTCAAACAGTTCTACCTTTCACGCCTTAACTTAAGGACAGAACCACGAGTAAAGTATGGACTCTTGGGATTGCTTGAAGAAGGAATTTTGAAAGAAGAATGGTAGGCTAGTGTTTAGGCTAGAGTATAGAATAGAGAAAAATAGAGAATTAATTGATGCCACGTACATTAAAAATGAGGGGGTATTTATAGAAAAAATGTGCTGAAAGAACACGCGGAACCCTAAAATGATAAATACCCTAAAAAATTATCCCGCAACACGGCAAACTGTACCGTGACACGGGAAATCCCACCGTCAGAGGGAAACATTCCCGTGACACGGTGCAAATTTTGTGTGACGCGGGAAATTTTTAGTAAATGGGGGAGAAAATGCGTTAAGGGTTTACGCGGAAAGGACACGGAAATTCCCGTGTGACAGCAGGTTTCTCGTGTCACGGGAAATGTATTTGAAATTTGTAAAAAATGGACAGCATGTATATGTGTGTTTATAATGTGCATATTTCTAATTAAAAGTCTTCTCATGGTGTTGGTAACACACTATTTAAGCTACACATGTTGTAGTGTTTGATTTGATAATTCTTGAGTATAAGACCATATGTGGCATCTCTATTGATCATTGATAAATTTTGATTTAAAATTATATTATTTTATCGATTTTTATATTGACTTTAAGTTAGGAGCCATTGGACTGCGGGATTCTAATGGTTAGAACATGTCAACTACTTGGTTGCAGGAATCAAGTAGTATAACCTGAGTTAATTGTTGTTGCCCGGGAGGTTCGAAGGTGTAAGACCATATTTGGCTTCTATCCGGCACCAGGAGTTTGGCCATTCTTAGACACATTCTCCTATGAGTTGACTGGAGGTTCACCTAACAAACCTTAGGAAGTGGACTGCGGGCTTCCATCACTAGCGTTCGATCCTACTTTAGTCAAATTGTTTATCTATGATATAAATATTATCACTAACTTGTTTAACCTGTCTTGATTGTTTGAATTATTATATGAACTTTAACAATTATTTTATTCTGTTTTCATGTTTTAATTTACTAAATAACCCTATTTTCCATACATTGAATATTTTCTTCCTAATATCTTTATTTTCTTCTGGTTCATGTCTTGTGTCTTTGTTTTCATATGCCTTTTTTTCTTTGTTGTTACTTTGTCTTGATTCCTGCTATGTGATCTCTTTGTCTTTGGGAGAACTGTTAGTTACTCCCCCATGATTGTGGAACCTAAATGTTATTTTCAGGTGAAGAGTAGTTTTTGTTGAGCTGGGCTGAGAGCAGAGTGTTTAGTTTGTTTCTTAACAGTTTTATAGACTTCCCTACGTTATCTATAGACCATTTTTTTTGGACAATTGGATTTGAGGTTGTTTTGCCTCATTTGTAGTTTTTCTATGTTTATTGAGTTTTCTATCACTTAAATAATTTTATACCACCCTTTTTAGTTGTTTCCTTTTTTTTAAAGTAACCTTTAGAGTGACATTACCATCTCGACGTTATTTTCGCTAACGTATCGCCTTCTGTTTTAGACAGGGTGTTACAGTTGGTATTAGAGAAAACATTTTAAAAACTCTCATTGAGTTGCTGTAGTTCTAAAGAAAATTGTAGTTTAGTTGCCTAGGTAAACGTTAAAGCTTAAAGACCTTAGTGAGAGTTACTTGGGTAGGAAGTTATCTTGGGAATTTTCTTTATAGTAAATTTATATGTGCTTTTATCTTGTGCCATGCAAACTAACTTTGTCCTTTTTGTAGCATGCCTCCACGAAATGTAAGTGCTCAGAAAGAGGTTGTGTGTCGTAGACGTCGTGCCCTTGAAAATGTCATCATTTCCTTGGCAAACCGCAGTGCTGCTCCAAGTGGTGGCCAATCCACTTTCGATAGATTCGATCGACATTGTCCACCCACCTATGATGGAACTGCTGATCCAGTGGTACTTGAAGGGTGGTTAAGAGAAATGGAAAAGTTGTTCAATGCCACGGGCTGCCCACCCGAGGATAGAGTAGCTATTGGTACTTATTATCTGAAGCTCGAAGCTGACAATTGGTGGAGTACAGCCAGGGATGAATGCGTGGCTATGCCGGGATTCAGCTAGCCCTCACTACAAGAAAAATCACTTTTCGTAGCGATTATTTCGTAGCGATTGTTCATTCGCTACAATATGCAAGTATGTTTGTGAAATAATTAAGGATGTCGTATCATTTTTACAATCGCCATGGTTTTCCCATATAAAATCGATACGGAAAGCATAACAATACATATACACACTATTTTTACACATTTATATAATTTTGAGAAATCTTATCATTTACAATCGCCACTAAATCCTAAAAATCGATACGAAAAGCCTTTTCTACACTAGATATATAAATATTGTTTGACAAAGAATACATAAAATATGTCATAACTTATTGGTGAAACATTTAATTTAAGAGTTTGAGGTTGCATGTTCGAATCTTGTAAAGATCATACGCATGTTTTTTTTTAAGAAAATGAGTTGAACATTTATAGCGATTGTAATCGCTACAATAATCATCACGATTGGATGTAGTTTTTCGTATCGATTATTGAGGCCATCCCCAACGATATTGAAAACCACTACTAAAGGCTAAGGCAACGGGGGATATTGTATCGAATGACCATTCGTTGGGAAAGCTTTTTGTTGCAATTATAATCGATACTAAAGGTTAAAATAATCGCTACGAAAAGGTTATTTTCTTGTAGTGCCTTATTTGCAACTAAACTGAAAGAGAGATTCTACCCTGATGAACTTTGTTGGAAAAAGCAGGAAGAGTTTCTCTATCTGTCTCAAGGTTCCCTATCCATCCAGGAGTACACGGACAGGTTTACTGAATTGTCCCGTTTCGCTACCTCTATCATCCCTACTGAAGTTGAAAGGGTAAAGAGGTACATCAAGAAGATGGATCCTAGAGTGAGAATCCATGTGCTGAGCTCAGGCGTTGCTTCTTTCCAAGGGGCTTATGAGATTGCTCTTAGTATCCATGCATCCATAATTGACGAAGAAGCTGCGAAGGTTGCATCTGCAAGGAGACCTTCAGTGCCTTATTCTCAAGTTCCAACTAAGAAGCCGAGGGTCGATAATGCTGGAATAAGTGGTGATCGGAAAAGTTCTGGTCCTCGTCAGAGTTCTGTCTCGAAGAAGTGCTATAGGTGTGGCAAAGACCATCATCCAGGGAAGAACTATGATGGCACTACGTTTGTCTGTTACCTTTGCAAGGAAGATGGCACAAGTCTTATCAGTATCCCAAGAGAGTGAATTCTTCTGGTTCTAGTGGCTCAAAGCCTACTTCCTCATCTGCTCCTCCAAGGAATAGGATCTATTGCATGACCCAAGAAGAGGCCAATGTTTAGCCCGATGTTGTGACGGGTACATTTCTTATCAATAATGTTCCCGCTTATGTTTTATTTGATTCTGGTGCTACTGTGTATGTTATTGATAGCACTTTCATTTTAAAATCCAACTTGTCTTTTAGTTCTCCTGTGAAATCCATTATAACTCTTCCTTCGGGAGAGGATTTTTCCTGCCATCGGGAGTTTAAAGGAGTCCCTGTGGTTATCTCTGGGTTTGAATTATATGCTGACCTTAAGGAGTTTCCTATGATTGAGTTTGATGTGATCCTTGGTATGGATTGGTTATCAAAGTAACATGAAGCCATTCACTATCGCGATCAGAAGGTTATTTTGCGTGGTCCCAAAGGTAACCGAATCTCCTACTCTGGTATTGTGTTGAAGAAAAATGTGAAGATCATGTCTGCAATGAGAAGGAAGAAGCTTCGACATAAAGGTGATATCGTGTTCCTCTGTAGAGTTAAGGACTTGTCTCTCGAAGATCAACTCAAGAGCATTCCTGTTGTTTGGGAATATCATGATGTTTTCCCCGAGGAGTTACCTGGTATCCACTTGAAAGGGATGTAATGTTCAGTATCGATCTGGTTCTTGGTACTGCTCCGATACCCAAGGCTCCGTATAGGATGGCTCCTCTTGAATTGCAAGAGTTGAAGACTCAGCTGCAGGAGTTGATCGATAAGGGTTTCATAAGACCTAGTGTGTCTCCGTGGGGTGCTGCGGTGTTGTTTGTGAAGAAGAAAGACGGGAGCATGTGCTTGTGTATTCATTACCGAGAACTAAATAAGGTAATAATCAAGAACAAGTATCCCTTGCTACGGATTGAAGACTTGTTTGATCAGTTGAAGGCTGCTGGTGTGTTTTCCAAAATTGATTTCTGACCCGGGTACCATCAAATCCCTGTAAAAAAGGAAGACATCCCAAAAACTACATTTCGCACCAGATATGGGCATTATGAGTTTGAAGTGATGCCCTTTGGTCTCACTAATGCACCTGCCATTTTCATGGACTAGATGAACCGTACTTTCCATGAGTACCTTGATACCTGTGTTGTGGTTTTCATTGATGATATCCTGATATATTCTAAGGATGAAGAAGAACATAAGAAACATTTAAAAATGATCTTAGATGTCTTACAGAAGCAAAAATGGTATGCTAAGTTGTCTAAATCTGAATTCTGGTTGAAGGAAGTTGCTTTTCTAGGGCATATCATTAGTAGGGAAGGTGTGAAGGTGGATCCTACAAAGGTTAAATCCGTGGTAAAATGGGAAAGTCCTAAGAATGTGTCTGAGGTTTGGAGTTTCCTTGGTCTTGCTGGATATTACCAGCATTTTGTGAAGGACTTCTCCAAGATAGCCCAACCTCTAACCATGTTGATGCGCAAGGATTGCAAGTTTAGATGGTCCGATGAATATGAGGAGGCTTTTCGATCATTGAAGAGGAGTTTGACTTCTGCCTCAATTCTTACCTTGCCTAGTGAAGGGGTGGAATTTGAAGTGTATAGTGATGCCTCAAAGAATGGTCTGGGTTGTGTTCTGATGCATCGGGGAAAGGTCATTGCTTATGCTTCAAGGCAGTTAAAGGTTCACAAAAGGAACTACCCTACTCATGATCTTGAATTGGCGGTTGTGGTTTTCGCGCTCAGAATATGGCGACACTATCTTTATGGTATTCAATGCAAGATGTACACAGATCACAAAAGTCTGAAATATATTTTCACTCAGAAGGACTTGAATATGAGGCGAAGGAGGTGGTTGGAACTGTTCAAGGATTATGATTTGTCTTTGGATTATCGTGAGGGAAAACAAATAAGGTACAAAATGCTCTGAGCCGTAAGAGCAATTAGTCTTTGAATGCAGTTAGGGTTTTGCCTAAAGGTTTGTGCGAAGAGTTTCGTAAGTTCGACATTGAAACGGTGCCTCAAGGATATGTTGATTCCTGTTTGAATGCCATAAGTGTTGAACCTGTGTTATACCGAGAGTTGCGAGAAAAGCAAAGGGGGATTCGAGACTCGAGAAGATCCGTGAAGCCAAAGCACAGGGTCGAGCTGAAAATTTTGAGATCTACGCTGATGGTAGTCTGAAGTTCTAGGGTCGTTTGTTGTCCCAAATGATGCTGAGTTGAAAGGGAAGATTCTCGAGGAAGCTCATAACACTCCCTATTCTGTTCATCCTGGGGGTGATAAGATATATAAGGACTTGAAGGTGAATTTTTGGTGGTCGGGTATGAAGAAGGAGATAGCCGAGTTTGTTGCTCGATGCTTGGTTTGTCAAAAGGTGAAGATTGAACATCAAAGGCCTGGAGGGTTGCTTCAACCTTTGCCTATTCCAGCATGGAAGTTTGATTCTATCTCCATGGATTTTGTTATGGGTCTCCCAGTAACCTCAGGGGGATTGAAAGCTGTTTGGGTGATAGTGGACCGATTTCCCAAGGTTGCTAGGTTCATTCCTTTGAAGAACACATGGTCAATGGAGAAGTTAGCCGAGGCTTATGCTAATGAGATCATCCATCTTCATGGTGTTCCGAAGGATATTGTGTCGGATCGAGACCCGAGGCTCTTGTCTCATTTCTGGGTTGCTTTACAAGAAGCGTTTGGCACGAAGCTAAAATTGAGTACTGCTTTTCATGCTGCCATTGATGGTCAGATTGAGAGGACCATCCATAATCTAGAGGATATGCTCCGTGCTTGTGCTTTAGAGTTGCAGCAGTCATGGGTGAAATCTCTAATTCTTGTAGAGTTCTCCTACAACAATAGTTATCAGGCTAGTATCCAAATGGCTCCTTATGAGGCTCTTTATGGGAGGAAGTGTCGTAGTCCTACTTGCTTGAGCGACATTAGCGACTCTTTGGTTCTAGGGCCAAAGTTGATTCAAGATACTGTTGAAAAGGTAAAGGCGATCCGTGCTAGATTGAAAGCTGCACAAGATAGGCAGAAATCTTATACTGATCTTCGGCGAAGACCTGTTGCCTATGAGGTAAGGGACAAGGTTTTGTTGAAAGTGTCTCCGATGAAGGCGGTAATGCGCTTCAGTATGAAAGGGAGGCTCATTCCAAAGTACGTAGGTCCCTATGAGATCCTTGAAAGGGTCGGAGAAGTTGCTTACCGGTTGGCATTGTCGTCAGAGTTGTCAAAGGTTCATGACGTATTTCATGTGTCACAACTACGAAGGTATCGTAGGATCCATCTCATTTGATCCCGGTTGAGACAGTTGAGGTTGAACCAAACTTAACTTTTGAGGAGCGACTAGTTCAAATTCTTGACCGTCAGGATCGAATTCTTCGAAGGAAAGTGGTTCCTTTAGTGAAAGTCTTGTGGAGAAGTCAAAAGTATGAAGAAGCCACATGGGAAACCGAAGAGTCAACGCGACTAAAATACCCTGAGTTGTTCGAAGCAGGTACTTTATTAATTTTGTCTGCTTTCTTTTACCTCTATTATTTTGAGTGTTGAGTTGGTTTATGCTTATTTTCAAGTTTTGAGGACGAAACTTTTTGTGAGTAGGGGTGACTGTTATACCCCATATTGTTTGTGACGTGAGTATTTTTAAAATGTATATTTATAATAATTTTTTCTTTAAATTAATACGAATTTTATTTTCTTATTTAAGTAAGAAAAATAATATATTATTTTAAGTAATGATCGCCTTAGTACTAGTTTGTCGTAGTAGTAATTTTAAGTTAAGCGTGCGAATTAGTTTAATAGAGTGTTGGACCGACCAAACTATATTACTCACTAATGTTGACCCATTGTGCTATGTCACGTAAAAGGGGAGAAATTCAAGGGTTTGCTGGCTGCTAATGCTTCTTGTGTAACCCCCATTCTAATTACCTCTATATTGATGATTGTAACCCCCAATCCCTTTAATTTTGCCTAACCCTCAAACTTCTCTCCTTCCCCTCTATTTTAACCTCACGCTGCCCAGCCATGTTATATCATTCTTGCTGCATTATAGTCTCTAAACTCACAAAATTTCTCACAAAAAAAGTCCACAAAGTAACGGTTCCATTCGAGGGCGTTTGGAGTTTCGATCCTTGTTCGTTGGGGCTCGTTTGTACTCATTCTTGCACTCTACTTTGAAGGTAACTAGTACTATCCCCTATACTAGGTTTCACTTAGTTTATAATGCATGACTTACGCTTAGAACGATTGAGAAAGTCGTATGACGAAAACTAGTACGATCGTTATATAGAAACTGATTTTATTTGGACAATTTGTGAACTATTTACGAACTAAATTTTTTGCGACATGCGTGTTTAATGGGACTGCCATATACCAGTTTTGTATGTCAATTATCAAGGATTAATTTCTTGAGATAATTCATAATTACCGTTAGAGAATAAATAATTATTCATGCTTGACCATATCCATGCTAAGTATATTTCGTTGGAGATTTTTGTAACTGTGTTGGGCCCGTATCACCATACGGCCCATTACATCTAGGGCATCAATCCAAGACCAATAAGTCAGCAAAATATACAAAACAGCTTGATTGAAATAAACAAGGAAAGCAACATCATACATATCAATCAAGGAGATACTTGCCAAAGATACACCTACAGAACAGGGAAGAAGATAAATCAAGAAGATCTTCTTCATTTTGAATATATTCCGAAGATATTTGTAAACCCTAGAGATCCCTAGGTATAAATAAGTGTAATTAGACATTTTCAGCATTCATGTACACACACATACTCTAAATATAATAGAATTACTCTACTTTTATCTACGGAACCACATCCCTACTAAGAAGAAAGCTTGTCCTTGCTCAGTATTGTGTTTCTGAACTCACTCTCTTCACATAGCTGAATTCTTGTTGCCTACTTATTGCTTATTTGTTGTTCATCTATTGCTTTGTCAATCGTTTATAGTAGATTTATATGCTTTTGGTAGTATAATTGTTATTACCCCTCAAACCTAGCAGATTCTCATATGACCTTGTTGAGATTTGCCTAAACAAACTGGACTAGCAAGTTTCAGATGGTTGTACTGTGAAACATGGAGTTGACTTTCATAGCTAATAATGATTAAATTAGTTGCTTGAATCTTAGTTTAATTGGGTCATGGTTTTAACTGGTATAAGTGGTGTTTGTAGAGTATAGTGCAGTTTCGAAAAGTAATATGGAGGGAGTTGTTGCTTGCAATTTGTGTGAAAATAGTGTCAGTATAGTACTCTGACTATCACTTTATAAATCATGCTAGGAGTTCATGTAATTGTATTATGTAATGTATTTTCAAGTTATTAATTGGTACAATGACTAGTAATCTAAGTAGGTGAACTTTGGCTAGATAATTATGGGGTGTCTGAACTTTTATGTAAGTTGTTGGTTGGGATTAGTTTAGGGTATATAATCATGATTAAAACTTGTTTTGGCTCAAATTATACAATATAATACTTGTGTTAATGTGACGGCCAAGGTGTGCAAGTTTGGTAATTTTTAGAGCAATAATCTAATTATTCTGTTTTTTTTTTAAAGTATGTATTTGCAATTTGTAAAAAAATGGACAGCATGTATATGTGTGTTTATAATGTGCATATTTTTAATTAAAAGTCTTTTCATGGTGTTGGTAGGTA